TTCTGGAAATGTGGGAGACTCCATCAGTGGGGTTCTTCCTCTGCAGAACTGCCTCCCTTTCAGGCCTGAGATCTACATAGCTGAAATCCCACACCATCCTCTGCTTGTAATTCCTTTACACCTTCTTCTAACATTCTTCCCTGAGGACGAAATGACACCTGCCCGAGGAAAGCAACAAATACATTCAGGATTGTAGCCTCGTTATAGTTGGGCAGTAGCATCTCTCCACATATACTGTACCTACACATACAACCAAACCAAAGGAAAAGTAGCAGGAAATAAGAAGCTTGCTTTCAAGGGATTTTGGTAGGAATCTGGAACTTCCATCTCCAGACATAGGAAATAATAGTTCTGCTTGTCTGTTTTTAGTCTTCTCTGTATAGATTCAACTGCCATTAATATTATATAAATCCTAAAAGCTCATGCAGGTTTTTGCTGGCTCATTTTGATGTTTATTAAATGTTGTTTGTGAATATGTCACTGTTTATAGGGGAGACAATTTCAAGATGATAGCAGGAGAGCAAAGCTTTAAAGGGTGGTTGATGTTTGCAGCTTTGCCCACTTTTTCTACAGTCTTCAGCCATCTCACCCGTATTCATACTTACCTCTTTTTTTAAAACGCCTTAAGCAAAACATTTAAAGTAATGTGCAGTTAGATCTTTGTTTTAACCCCCAAGTTGGGTGCATATTACACTGACAAGGTCAGTTACAATTTGTAAATTGTTCTCACAAATAGTGTAAAAGTACTTTAAATAAAGGAATTATATGCCAATATTATTTTTCCTCATCTACCCCCACCCCAAGATTCCGTTACCATTAGAGTTGCAAAATTTTAAAAATCAGGCAAAAACAGAAGAAGAAAATAATAAAGGAGACAAAAATGTTGTGGCACCTTAAAGACTAACTACTATTTTTTAATGTGAGCCTTTGTGGACAAGTCCATTTCCTCAGACCCTTCCTTTTAGAAAGCGGTCCTGATTACTCTTTTTTTCCAAAAGTAACTATAATGGCTCCTTTTTAGTTGTTCTGAAACAAATCTGAGTGCAACAAGCCACAGGCTTATACAAAACATTCTCCCACCTCCCTGCACCAAAGTGGCCTCACAGGAGCTTCAGTGCCCACAATAAAGAAGGAAACGGCAGCACAGGCCATTACATGAAGCATCTGACATTCCTCTACCACCCTCTAGTGAGGCCCCATCACTACAGAAGTAACTACAATGATATATGACTCCGAGTTAAGTCAAGTTCAATGTACAGTCTTTATATCTTTATTACTAAACCAAGAAACTAATTAGAAGTAATTGGATATTCAAAAGTAACTAATACTTTGTAACCTGTTACTTCCAAACTCTGGTCTGTTAATTTAGCCCCATAAGTTAATTTAGCCCCAAAAGTTAATTTAGCCCTATATTTTGTCCACAACATGTAGAAGGTCCCGCAGACTATACAGCTTTGCTCCCTGAATTCTTCAAATAGCACCACTGTGGAATGAACCTCTAAACTTGATAACCCCTCCTCTCAAGATTCCAGAAAAGGAGGATTCAAAAATAAACTTGAGTTGCACTTAAAAGTAATAAAGTTTAAGGAAGCATCATTTAACAGCTGAGCATGGCAGATCCCTAGGCAGCAAAGTTAATTTTTTTGAGATTTGAGAAATGCTTTCTCTTCGGCCCTTTCAGAGCATGAAATGTCCAGAGAAACACACACTTGGGCGCTCATAACATGATTAAGTGCACACAAGTGCTTTTAGTCCATAAAGATTCTGCCCTTCCACCCCATGCCTAATAAACTGAGACAGAATTAGCACTGGGTGAGTGGTTCTGCCTGCTGCCAAGAAGGGTTTGTTGAGGGTAAGACTCTCAAAGTAGAGATTAACTTGCCTTCATCCCTATAATGTGCTGTACAGCCAGGATTTGCAGAATAGGATCAAGGAAGAGTCATACATGAATGCAGTCCTGGACAGCTGGTGCGTATGCTTTTATACATCCCTGGCTCCGAGGTGCTTAGCTGTTCCATAATCCTTATGGGGTGCGGCCAAGGCTTAGGGGAGAGCACCTACTTTGTGTGGCGGCGGCTCCCTAATCGATGCCTGTATTGAAAGGAACTTGGCCTGGGAGGTGCCATAACAAAAAGGGAAGCTTTCTGTGGCTCTGCCTCAGATGGAATACAGTCCAGCTGGATCAGACCAGTTTTGCACATCAGCGAATCAGATGCCTATGGGAAATTTACAAGGAGGATGTGGCTGCAACAGCTCTCTCCCATTGGCTTACCATTAACATTGACTCCTGGATAGCTCCGTGATTTCAAATTTACAAGGAGGATGTGGCTGCAACAGCGCTCTCCCATTGGCTTACCATTAACATTGATTCCTGGATAGGTCCGTGAGAATTCCTCACTGTGCCTCCCTGAGAGGGTCCGGACTCGATGATCTACAGCAGTGGTCCCCAACCTTGGGCCTCCAGGTGTTCTTGGACTACAACTCCCAGAAGCCTTCACCACCACCTCTGCTGGCCAGGATTTCTGGGAGTTGAAGTCCAAGAACATCTGGAGGCCCAAGGTTGGGGACCACTGATCTACAGGCTCCCTTCCAGTTCTGCAGTTCGATGATGATGATGATGATGATGATGATGATGATTGGAACCAATAAAGAGCAAAAGGTGTTGCTATTCATTGCTCTCTCCATGGCTCACAGTCGGTATTTCTTGTGGGTGGTTGATGTTTGCAGCTGCAACATCAAGAAAATAATTTCTGTGGCTATGGAAAAAATATTTTATCTGCTTTCCTTGTTCTCAATTTTTATGTATATATTTCTTTTCTGTTTTGATTAGATGTGATTGTTTTAAGCTTAAGGACATGGTAAGGACACCGCTGGATCCACCTAGCTTTTGCAGGCCCGTTTAGTCCAGGACTCTGTCCACACAGTGGCTGCTCTGCTGTCTGTCTGTGCAGAACGTGAATACAATGGGATCCTTCTTCCCCTTGTATTTCGCAGCATCTGGTATTGCTCTGGTACTGGAAGTAGAATGGGATACTGCCAGGACTGGCCTGAAAGATTTTGCTGTCTGAGATGAAAGGGGACCTGTTCAGAAAACAGACGATGATCAAGACAGACAACAGGTTTCCTTGGAAGATGCAAGAGAAGTTCTGGAGCTCACACAGCTCTGTCTTTGAGCCCTTCACTACCACCCACCATGTCTTAGCATTTGTTGTCTGATAATCTATCAGTGTGCCCAGTCTCTGTTTAGAGGGTGGTAGCAAATCCCACGCATTGTGTGGAGAACTGCTTAAATTCTCTGCTCTGAATTTTCCACTCTTTCAGGGTGTGGGCCATCTATAGCTTGAGGTATTTTGTGTGTGTGTGTGTGTGTGTGTGTGTGTGTGTGTGTGTGTGTGTGTGTGTGTGTGTGAGAGAAACTAGCAATATTACTTGCTTTACCAGTCTATTGCTTAAACGTGGATCATGCACGATTGGCATACGCAAGTCGAAAGTTGAAGAACTAGGTGGAAGCCTGAGCTACACAGACATACACCAGGTTTCACACTGCACCTGCCTATTTTGTGTTTCCTTACACTCAGGGGCGAGCATGGGTGTAGGAGCAGCTGGAGATGAAATACATACTCAGTGTTGCAGAATTTTGAATTTCTGGTTAAATTCCTCTGGCTGTGCAGCAGAAGTGCAGGGATACAGAGAGCAGAACTAATTTCAAGTTCTCCAGATTAGTCCACCCCTTTCACTCATTAACTGAGCCTTACAGTCTCAGTAACTCACTGTGAGACATTAATGGTAGAAAGAATAAAAACAATGCATTACTTACAGTTGGAAACAGATAATAGCAAACTAACAATGAACTAACTTCCAACAGACAAAAGAGAACACTCAGCACAGAGGTATGCTGTCTTTGAATTTTGAGACAGGGCAGAATGGTTGGTTAGTGATGCATAGATTGACAGCCTCCCTAATCCAGAAAGGTCCCTCCCAGTTTAAACAAAAACAAAAGGTCCTTCCCAGTTAAACCACCCAGAATAGACACATTCTAGATGGGCAGTATATAAATCTAATTAATACAGGCAGCATGCGAGGTTGCAAAACTCCAATATTCAGGGTAGACAAATTTGCACCCTTCCAGTGGCAAAAATAGTAATAGTGGTTCCAGCAGAAATGTTTCCTCCCTCAAAACTGCTGCACCCTGAGTCCAAGACCTGGTTGCCCCACCCTGGTCACAGCTCTGCCTGAAGTGCCTCTAACCTTGTTCTCCTCCTCCTCCTTTTCTATTGGAGGATGGATTTCATGATTTGATTTCAGATGGGTAGCTCTAACGAGTTGTGTCACATCCAAACCAGACTCCCAAGAACTTCAACTGATAGGCTCTTCTTGTCTTTCTTCCTCCCCATCTATTTTACCATGAACAATCATCTGTAACAATCTGTAGTTTTAATTTCTCATTGCATATCCTTACTTTCTGCATTTTATTTTCATGATTTCTTGGTCTTTATTTACCTTATTAATATTTTCATTGCTCATCTTCTCAAGCTAAGAAATTCTCAGTATTCTGCAAGAAACCCAAAATCTGAATGCTGCTTTTTCATCATTACCTGTTTTAAAGTCCACAAATCCATGCCATTCTTTAGAACTGAGAATGCATAACACTGTGCAAGGCTCATTCTTGGAGCTGATTTTTCTGTTGCATATTACCGTACATTCTTCATTTAACTACCAATGTGGGAAATAGTCTGAAGATTCATTATCCAATTCAAGCACTAAAACTAAACATTGCGGGTTCACTAAGCTCCCTGGATAGACAACCAACTGGGGATGAAGTTCTAAATCCAATGTTAATCTGAACTAGATTGGACCCACTGAATTCAGTGAGACTTAAATAAGTTGTAAATGCTATATGCTGCTCTCATATTTCATTGCTGTTCTTTCTACTATACCTCCTCTAACTCCTAATGTGTCTACTTTGCTTCTCAGAGCATTTCTGATTGGTTGAAGCTGGCAAAAAACCCCAGCATTATAGCATGACGCCTCGAGACCACATGAGAAAGATGTCAATCCTTGGAGAACAGGGAACGCTAGAAGACAAGCATTTATACCGGTTAGCAAGTGGTATGGCACCAAGCGGTAAGATGAAATAACAGACTATAGTGGGAAAAGTGGGGTTTCTATTGGGAATCATGACTATTGGGGAGCATGTGATGAAACATTCTGAACATTTAATTATATAAAAATTTGTCTGATTGCAATACAAAATGTCTAACACAAGCTGTTCTCAAAAGCTTGGAGATGATTTTAAGGATAATCCTGTAAAATGTATCACTCATGGGAGAGCTGAATATTTTTGCATTCTTGCAATGGCTGAAATCCTGTTGCACTGCTACGCAAAAGACATAGATTTGGAGGCAAATTGTTTTTAGTTAAGAAATCTCCATAGATGTATTCGCGAAGGCTTTCACGGCCCGGATCTAGAGGACAGCACTGTCCTCTGAAGATGCCGGCCACAGAGACTGGCGAAACGTTAGGAAGAACAACCTTCAGAACACGGCCAAAGAGCCCGAAAAACCCACAACAACCAATCTCCATAGACATTATTTATTGGATGGTGAGTCAGGCAACTTACTGTGCAACAGATAATGTCTACAGATTTCTGAAATTGAGGCAATTCACCTTCCAAAATTATGCCTTTTGCGTAGCAGTGCAACAAGTGTATACATACAGAGGTGGTTTTTTTTCTATATCCTGGCCTCAAATCTGTAGAGACTTATAAGTAAGAATCAGATTCCTGAACAGGACCAAGAAACATACTGGATGCCAGTACAATTGACGTGGAGCTGGTATAGTAAAGTATACACTGGGGAAAAGAAATTAAGGCAGAAAGGGAAAGGAAAGAACCTCATTCTAGCATTTTGCACCAGTTACAATTTCTGAACACATTTCAAAGGGAAGCTCCACAGAGAACTATATTGCTTCAGTCTCTATGGGAGATAGGATGCAATCCTAGCCTGATCAAGGAAGGGCTGCAACCAAAACTTCCTAAATCTGTATCTACATGAAGATATTCTACAATTTGTATTAGAACTACGACAGCGACAAGAAATGATCATGAGAAACCAGATGATGGCAGTAAACTCACAACTGATGGGAGGAAGCCAGCAGAGAATCCAAGCAATTCCCTCACAGTTCGAGCCTAGATTCATGGAAAGGTATTTACTCCCCTCCTCTCTTTCCTTCTTTCTTTCTCTTTCTTTCTGGTTTTGTGTCTGTATTATCAAGCATTTAGAGACCTTCTTTCCTTCTTTCTCTTTCTTTCTTTGTTTCTTTTTTTGCAAAATGATTTTGTGTCTGTATTATTAAGCATTTAGAGAAAAAGCACAAGTTTCTCTAGATTTCCTATTGTCTTCAGATAAATATCTAGGGAGTAAACGACAAGATAATGTTTATATTTTGCATCAGAAAAGAGGAGAAAAAATTGGCTTTATATCTGCTTACCAGCATTTCTTGTTAGCTTTGTCTAAGGTTTGCAGGAACAACATCAGAAAGCAACCCCTTTGGATATGTAAAAAAGATGAATATTACCCTCTTTTCTTCTTTGTGCTGCTGTTCTTATTTTTATGTGTGGTCATTTTATCTGATGTTTACGTTAGATGCCCTGACGGTTTAGAAGATGAGACATAAAGGAAGAATACACATAATTTAGTAAATTAATCTCCTGCACAAGGAAGACATCTGCTTCTTTGCCACCTTATGGGAAATATGATTTGCATCTTTTTAGCTAGACTGCTTCTACTGCATGTATCTGCAGCTATGCTGACAGGACTGTGGACTCCATGATCCTCCATATAATGTTGGGCTACCAGGAAATCCTAGCCAGCATGCCCAACAGTGAAGAGAAGTGCAGTCCAACAACACATATATTGAGGCACACATGTTATTTACCCTCACACTGTGGTATGCTCTCATTTCTTTATAAAGTCACACATAAGAGGCAGTAAGAAAAGCAGGGAGAAAAACGTTATGCTTAATTAAATGTTCTCCAGGCAGCTTAGGTGGAGGAACAAGACTGTAGTCCCATTAAGTCACAAACATGAGAAGCTGGGATGTGTCAGGAGCAACAGAAACGCACCAAATGCACACCTACATTATGTGATATTACATCAATGAGAATGTGGGCAGAACTGAACAACTGGGAGTGTTTACGCCAACCACCCCTTCACCAAATCATCATTTTATTGTGAAATTAAATTTTCACATTAGATCTATATTAAATAGAGCAGAGAAGAATTTGCAGCTAATTTTTTCAGTTTAAAAAGTGCTGATTATTCACACAGAGACAATTGCAAGACAGATTTCTATTTTTTAATACGTAAGGAATCCTAGGACATATAATTCATCTGTCAGTTTGACATGGCAAAGAAAGAGGAATGTTTTTAGATGAACTTGTGCTAGATATTATATAAACATTCAATGAAATTCATTGTGCATACATTCACTAGATGTTTAGGATCATACAGTGTTTCTATTGTCTCTTTATGAAATTCCTACTGTAATAAAGTGCTAGATACCCCGTGTGCGGTAGAGGACAGAGTGATGAATTAGGATTCAGGAAGCTTGGATTCAAATCCCTGCTTGACCATGGAAGCTGACTGGGGCAGTGAAACTGGTAAAACCACTCCTTAAATATTTGACTTACCTTGAAAGCCTTACCAGGGTTGCTATATGTTGGTTCCAACTTGGAGGCATATAATTATTCCACCTTATTGGGAGCCACCCAGAGTGGTTGACCAGACCAGATGGGTGGGATATAAATCAAATACTCCATATAATGTTGGGCTACCAGGAAATCCTAGCCAGCATGCCCAACAGTGAAGAGAAGTGCAGTCCAACAACACACATATTGAGGCACACATGTTATTCACCCTCACACTGTGGTATGCTCTCATTTCTTTATAAAGTCACACATAAGAGGCAGTAAGAAAAGCAGGGAGAAAAATGTTATGCTTAATTAAATGTTCTCCAGGCAGCTTAGGTGGAGGAACAAGACTGTAGTCCCATTAAGTCACAAACATGAGAAGCTGGGATGTGTCAGGAGCAACAGAAACGCACCAAATGCACACCTACATTATGTGATATTACATCAATGAGAATGTGGGCAGAACTGAACAACTGGGAGTGTTTACGCCAACCACCCCTTCACCGAATCATCATTTTTTTGTGAAATTAAATTTTCACATTAGATCTATATTAAATAGAGCAGAGAAGAATTTGCAGCTAATTTTTTCAGTTTAAAAAGTGCTGATTATTCACACAGAGACAATTGCAAGACAGATTTCTATTTTTTAATACGTAAGGAATCCTAGGACATATAATTCATCTGTCAGTTTGACATGGCAAAGAAAGAGGAATGTTTTTAGATGAACTTGTGCTAGATATTATATAAACATTCAATGAAATTCATTGTGCATACATTCACTAGATGTTTAGGATCATACAGTGTTTCTATTGTCTCTTTATGAAATTCCTACTGTAATAAAGTGCTAGATACCCCGTGTGCGGTAGAGGACAGAGTGATGAATTAGGATTCAGGAAGCTTGGATTCAAATCCCTGCTTGACCATGGAAGCTGACTGGGGCAGTGAAACTGGTAAAACCACTCCTTAAATATTTGACTTACCTTGAAAGCCTTACCAGGGTTGCTATATGTTGGTTCCAACTTGGAGGCATATAATTATTCCACCTTATTGGAAGCCACCCAGAGTGGTTGACCAGACCAGATGGGTGGGATATAAATCAAATAAATCAAATAAATAAATAAAAATAATAATAGGTTAACTTTAGTGTTAATTCGAACCATAGCAACTGTCATCTGAATCAAGTTACTCTTTCCTAGCACCCTCCAGATGTTTTGTGTGAAAACCTCAATTATCACTATGCTATCTAAGGTTATAGATGCAAGAGGCCCATATTCTTTGTGCCTTCATTACCTGTCTGTCTACTGTCTTAGGGATTTGTTACCTTCGACAGAGATGCTGGCACCAGCTGACCCTAGGCAGATTCACATAGCTTCCCATCTCGGTCCTTCTGTCCCACAGCACACCAACATGCCAAATGTGTTATCCAATCGTGTTTATCAAGGACCAGGTAAGAGGTAATGAAAAATAATATCACAAAATGTCAAATAGTGAATGATTACTACTATTTTTTTTCCAACAAAGATAATGAATACAGATGTACATATCAGTGTTTTCAGACAAGAGCTCTCAGAATGCCAGGTTTATTGGGAATTCTGGAAGTTATAGTTAAAATTTGCACATATATATTGGTGAATGTGTTCCAAATTCATCAGGGCAGGGCTGGGGACTGTACTGTCCAATGTCAATTTTTTTCAGCCCCCAATATTTTTTTTTTAAAAAATGCCTAAAATCAACTGCACCATCGGCTGCTAAATATCGGCACATTAGCTTCTCAGCTGCTTTCACTGCTCTTCAGCTGTTTTGTATTCATTTCAACTTGTTTCAACTTATTTAGTGGTTAAACATAAGTGATACTTTTGTATCTGGTATATAAGTGTGTTTCCATAATGTAACTGTCTTAATTAATTAATAACTGTATTAATTAATTAAAAAAGTCTTCACTTGGAGGTAATTATGTCTTATTTCTGGCTGTCAATTCAACCATAAGGAGGAATCCAGAAGAGTTGCTCATGCAGTTCCTCATGCAATTAAGGCAGTTAAGGTACAGAATTTTAAACAAAAAAAATCTGTTTATAAATTATGTTTAACCATTAAATCAATCAAAAGAAGTTGAAATAAACATAAAGCAGCTCCAGAGAAAGTGGCCGGGCCACTGATTTTTGGGGGCAGATTGTGCCACCATTTTTCCGCAGTTTTTGGGAGGGGATTGGCTCCCAACCCCAAGCTTTAGCCAGATTAAAATGAGTCCAGAACCCAGGGTCAGGATTGCTGGTGGATGCTTGCCTACAGATCACATGATACCTGTCCTGCATGGGCTGCTCTGTTTCCTGACACAATTTTAATATATTGTTGACCACCTTTAAAATCCTGAATAGCTTAGTCCCAGAATACCTTAAGGACCATCTTCTCACTCGCATGCCTGCCTGTTCTTAAACTCTGACAGAAATGTCTTCCTATGCTTCCCAACTTTAGTGCAGGATTTATCAGCAGCTACACCTAGATGGACCGAATTCTTTGCCCCCAGCATGCTAGGCCAGTAGCTCTTTGATGGCATTTTGCTGCATGACCTAATCCTAGTCCAAGCATTTGCTTTTTGAGTTCTGTTCCATGTTTTATTTACTGCACCTACCTGTTTTTATAATAATGTCATTGTTTTGTAGATGTATTAATGGATTGAATTGTTCTTAGCTGGTCTAAGAGATGCATGAGCAACAGAAGAGTGGAAACGTTGATTGTTATCTAAATAAATGTATATGCTGAAGTAGTAAGAACATATTCACTGGACCATAGCAAGAAGTTGTGAATAAAAGGCTGTGCTGTCATTCACGAGTGGGGATACTGTATACACTCGAATCCTTGTAAAGCACTTGGGAGAAAACAGATTAGGAGGATTAATCCATATGGGGTCACTGAGACATTTTAACCACATGCTAGGAATTCTTCACTAGCTATTGCTAGATTCCATGTATCATCTTCTTATCTCATTTATCTCAGGCATTACAAAATGCCTCTTTGCAGACATCTACATGCCTTCCAACATCTTTGGAATCGCATTAGTTCTCTACAGAGTAGCTTTTTGAATTCACAGAAAACAAACAGTACGAACAACCCCTGTATTGTGGAATTTAGTGATGAGTATATTTGAGTAAATAATTGGGGTTTGGACTCAGTAGCCTCAAAGGCCACTTCCAGCTCTGCTATGTTTTTGTACACTACAGCTTTCAAAATGCTTGCACTGAGACTCTACAAATATGGTCTTTTACAGCTACAATCCAAGCTCTTTTACGTAAAGTATATTCAGAATGGCATGTCTACAAATGAAGCACTGTGGCAGCCATTTGTCATATTAATTTATTTCAGCATTCTTCAAAGAAAAATAAGTGCATTCAGGAAGTGTGCTCACATCAATTAATATAACACAAAAAACACAAAATATTATTTAACGCTTGTCAAAATGCAAATATTAGCCAAAACTTTGCCCAAGAACATGTACAGTACATGGAGAAAGGTGCACAAAGAAATATGCATTAATTTTTTAAAACTCTTAAAAATTTGATGAGTCATAAATCATAACACACACATTTCACACACACAATTAATGGATTCAAACATCCAAACCCTTCGAAACTATCATGCAAGCAATGCACAAAATTGATGGGAGATGATAAGCCTTATCCAAAATTGATTTAATTGGAATTGTAACTATCAAAACTATCATTATGAGAATGGCTCAAAACTTTAACGAAACATTGGTAAGAAACTGTTTTTAACAAATTTTTCTGAACTCAGGTAGTAGGAATAATAAAATAATAATAGTTTTAAAGATTTTTAAAATTGTAATCCTATACAGAACTGACTTGAATACAGGCCTCAGTGAATGAAATGAGATTTACTTCTGAGGAGACTTGACTAGGGCAGTTTCTCCTTCATTTATTTTGGGTGCCTGAGTCCACATAAACATGGGAGAATAATTTAACTAACAAACCTTTAATTCTTCTTCTTCTTCCAATATATTTAGGATATAGTTTTATCCAACCAGAATCTATGGAAGCTGTAACCAGAAGGCAGGAATTGGTTCAGAAACAAAATATCGCCAGGTAAATTGAGCACAGTATGTTACATCTGAGTACTAACTGCAGTTGAAGTACTGAGACAAACGCCTCTCTTTGTTTCCTTAATACATTTTGTTTGCTTTTCTTTTAAAAAGAACCAACACATTAGGTACCTATAACTTAGCCAAAACTACGTAATGTGATTAGTTATTTGGAAATGAAATTTCCCCCTCATATTTCAGAGTGGACCTACATTAGGTACCTATAACTTAGCCAAAACTAATGTGATTGGTTATTTGGAAATGAAATTTGCCCCTCATATTTCAGAGTGGACCTCCTTTCAGACCAAACATGGAGGTTGCATATGTGGGTTTCAGTCATTTTCAGATACAGTGGACTGATGGCCATGATAGCCATTTGTCCTACTTTACAGATGACAGTCCTCTGATTGATGGACTGCTTGGACCAAGTCTGGCTTAAAGATAAAACTGCAAGAAAGCAGTGCAGACATCTTGAAGCTTCCTGTCAACAGCATTTGGACAGCAGGTTAAACAGACACATACAGGTCATACGTATTTGTCCCACCTATGGTGAGATGTTTAATATTTTTACTAATAAAAAATGTTGATCTTTACATAAAAATTAGCATACACACATTTTATGTCAACCTGTTTGCTCTTTTGCTTTCTTTTTCGGTAGATACAAGGGTTGTTCCCCCTTTTGGCACAAGTGGCCACCTTAGCAGGTGCATTACAAAGCTCACAAGCACTAGGAACATAGTTAAGTTGTCTTACGTAGAATCAGGTTATTGATTCTTTTGTATCAGAAGTGGTCACATGTGTCCTGTGGGCTGGTTGTGGTTCTGCCTGATTTTGTAGTCACCCAAAAATCATGTCATCCCAAGTAATTTTTTCCCAAAAGAGAGAGAGAGAATTCCATTTTTCAAAGCAGATTTTCTGTTTTTCCACCATTTTGTTTGAAACACAACCAATGTTTTTAGGAAACCAGAAATAGATGTTTAGTTATTTGCATTTCGTGGACAAGTCCGCAAAAGCTCAAATTAAAATATAGTAGTTAGTCTTTAACATATCACCATGTTTTTGTCTTCTTTATTTTTGTTTTGCTTTTGCCTGATCAGTTAGCACACGCTAACACATCAATATCTTCTAAAACTATCACTATTTCCAGTGTCAAGATGGACAAATATGGCCACTCACCACATCCACCTCTGTGGGGGGGAGGGGGAGGAGAGAGAAAATGGGAAAATGTGTGTGGCTTTCTCACGACTCACCACAAACGTGGGAAGTTACCCATGAGTGAACCTCTCTCACACAGCCATCCATTCCAAGATTTTAAATGGATATCTTTCTCAGGATAACCTGCTGGTGTACAAAACTGGAACTTTGGTGTGTAAATCCCTTGGTCAGTAACCCAGCTATAGCTTAGTCCTTTTGTAACAAGCTGTTTCTCTTTGCTTCTGTCGTGATTCTTATGCAGGATGGAGCTGGAGATGAGTGCCATTTTTCAACAGAAAGAAATAGAAAAAGCTCATCGCAAAGGACTGTTAGGACTGGAAGGCCCTTTACTTTACCACGGCATCCCTCCTAGCCCAGTTGCTTTCCGTGGGAGACATAGGATACCTGAGGGTCATCTTCCTAATGACTTGTATGTCCATCGAACCACCCTTGATGAGCTTCATGGTAACACCATGCTGATGACCACCAGCCCCTACCCACAGATCAGCACTCTGCAAAGGGAGCGAAGTCGCCGCCCAGGCCGGAGAGCCGGTAATCACAAATCTGCCGACTGTGCTATCAACGGGGTCAAGAGCCAAGCCGAGGATAAGAACACGGAGCCTGCTTCTGTGACTGCTGACGAAGAGAAGGAGGACAAAAAGGAAGTGGAGGTGGAGATGCTGAGCAAACACGAACCAAGCAAACTCCATGCAGAGCCTTCTGCTGTGGTGGCCCAAACCAGCAAGGACTATGAGCATGGCTTGAGAAAAGACTCCAGCACCCATGAAATGCCCAGTGAAGCAAATGGCTGTAGCAATGGGAATGAGAAAGATCCCAGCAATTCTTGCCCAGCTTTTGAAGAAAAGTACGTGTATCCTTCAGCTTTTGCCTTCTCAGCTCTCCCATACAGCTTCCCCATACCCAGCAACCCATTGCTGCCTTCAGGTAAGTTCAAGGTGGAGATGAGTAGTAATAGTCATTGCCTTTATACCCCACCCGATAGACAAAAAGGCCCCCAAAGCACTTTACAATACTGTTAATTGGACAGATTTTGCTTTCAGGTCTATAATTTAAACAGTAAGTCATGATCTAGAAATAGTAAGAGATATTGAAAGATATATGATATTTGGCTGATAGAGACCTTTCTGGACTTGAGTGGATATCACTACCAGCCAATAATGTCCTCTCTACCTCAGATTCTTTTTTTCCTGTTTTTTTTTAAAAGTTAGCCAAAATTCTATCCATGTTAGCAATGGAGTCTGTCAGAAGTGGACAGTTAGAGTGACCTGTTTTGTCAGCTATATAACCAGTTAATCAGTAATAAAGCTAATTAACCAGTTTAGCTCGGTGGTGTAACGTTATCATTTTTTACACAATGTGATATTTGTGTTTTTTTAATGAATAATTAATTAAAGCAAATTAATGGAAAACTGTTCTTCTCTCTCGTTACAAGAGGCTCTGAATGAATGTATTGAGATAATAAGTACCAGTTGGAGTAAACTAACAAATAAAGGTGGGTCTACTGTAGCTCAAACTGCTAGTAAGCATGATCCAAGACCAAGGATCTGGAGTTCAGCAGTTTCTGCTGGTTACAGGTTCCTACGCCCAGTTTAAGACTTTGGGTTCTGAATGCACCCTATTTCTTCATGAAGCACAATGTCTTGGGTTCTTTGCATGGCAGTTTGCTATTCTTAGCATTATGTAAAGAAGAGGCCCTCTGTTTTTCTTAAATCTCCTTTGAAAAATATAAATTATATATCTATATTTCATAACAACTTCCCAATTTGAAGAGACCCTTGTTCAGCAGGCCGAGGCAAAGAGGCAGTCCTGAAACCAGCCCAATCAGGGAGCTGGACAGGGGACAGACTGTATTTGTCTTCAGTGTGGAAGGGATTGTCACTCTCGAATTGGCCTTTTCCCCCACACTAGACATTGTTCCAAGTCCTCCATACAGAGCACGTTAGCATAGTCTCTTGAGACTGAAGGATACCTACAAGATTTCATAACACAATTACAGTGGGTGGGTAGGTAAGGTGCAGTCTCTGTAGATTCAGCAGGGGGGGGTGGTAATTGGAGAAAGAGCAGTCGCAAACAAAAATTGCTTCTGCACAAAAATTCTGCCACCTCAGAAAGGCAGGATTTGACAGCCATAGCATAATCGTTTTAAAGCATAACAGTCTAGAAGCTTGCTGGTCAAAAAATTACTGGGGAAACCAAATTCTGTGCCAGCTAGAGATTTCATGGCGAAATCATATACATGGAGTCACAGAGGATGAGTAATGTCATTACAGAGTTGTCCTGGGCTCAAGGTGGACATTGTATCAAAGCGATGTGAAGCAAATCTCAACGTCCACTTTAGTCTTCTAAGCACTGCCAGATAATGGGTTCTGCTGCAGGTGGGAATCTGAAAGTCTGGCAGGGGCGAAAGAAGCAGTTAAGTCTTTCTCCTTAATTATCTGAAGGGTTGCTTAACTACCAAAGGCTTCCCTGAGAATTTCACCTGAGTGGATGTTGTGTCTTTAAAATGTACTTGTTTTTAAAGGCTTTTTAAAATGTCTTGATTTTTTTTTAAATAATCTGTTTTATAATTGTTCTACACTTGGTTTATTTATTTTACAGTTAGACTCCTTGAGACACATATTTTTTGTCAGAAATATGGAGGAAAGATGTAAAAAATGAACACATAAACACACATTACACTGCATTAATCTGGCCATGAGCACATATGTAGATTCTGCATTTGTCCATCAGGGTCAAAAACATATATTTGCTTCTTCACCAGTCATGAAATGGAGAATTATTATTTTTTATATACAGCATATATATACAGATATATATATTTAAATTCCTATAGCTACTTCCAGCCTGATTCTAAATGGAGAAGACATCTCTTCCATTGAAGATATTTGCAAGTGGTCTGTCGAAGATGTGTACAATTTTATCATCAGCCTTCCAGCGTGTTCGGACTATGCCCAGGTAGTCACAAGTATATGGAAATCAATCATAAGTATTAAGCATTTGTTGAATGTCTGAAATGTTGTATTGAAAGAAAGCTTTATAGGTAACATGGGCTGCCAGGAAGACAAATAAATAATCTAGGGCAATCAAGTCTGAAATCTCCCTGTAAGCAAAAATGACTAACCTGAGGTTATCGTACTTTGGACATATCATAAGAAAAGACGACTCATGAGACAATAATGCTGGGAAAAAGAGAAATGCAATAGGAAACGAAGAAGAACATTATTAAATTGATTCAATGAAGTGTTAACATGTTATTTTTAAAGTGACAAATATTGTAATACTTTCTCTCCCATTTGATGAGGACAGTATTGAATATAATCCTAACAAGTCAATTCTAACACATTAGCCAAAATCCTGTTGTGCAGCTTCACCCACATAATGTGAATAATATCATTCTCAGTGTCATAGTGCTACTTCTTTAATACAGTGGGGTCTCGAATTACAAACATAATCTGTATTGGAAGGCAGTTCTCAGGTCGAAAAGTTCTTAAGTCGAATCTGCATTTAACATAGGAATGCATTGAATACCATTTAATCCGTATCTGCTCTTTTCGTCCATAGAAACTAATGGGAAGCTGCTATTCCGCCTTCTGCCACTAGAGGGGGATATTTTTTCTTTTTTCCTTTTAACCTAAGATGACTTAGCTTTAAAAAAAAGGAAAAAAAAGAGTTCCTAACTCGAATCTAAGTTTGTAAGTCGAGTCCATATATTCCTATGAAAGCGGTACGTAAGTCGAAACGTTCGTATGTCGAGCTGTTCGTAACTCGAGACCCCACTGTAAGGTTTAACTAGTAGCACTCAGGCACAAATGATAAGTCATGCTCATTCTATAAATAGAAAAAAGATGTCTTTAATAAGTTATGATCTGCTGAGGACTACAACATCATTACTGTTATATTGGCAACATTCTACAGTCTGTGGTTACTTAGTTTGCTCCCAAATAGAGCTACTTGGCATTGCTCACCTTGATGAAACCCTGTGATGTACACAGTGGGTTGTGACAGTACAAACAATGGCAGAGGAACCTCCCTCCTTTGTGTTCCTCTTTTCACAATTTTTAAAAATACTCCTATGTGACACAGCACTATTTCAGATATAAGAGAAGATCCATGCAAGGGTGATGTGTTGCTGTAGTGCTATGCTGCTTACAAAAAAATGAATCCCCAAAAAAGGAAAATTACGGTGGCCCACTGAACGACAGTCGCAAGGAAAGGCAGGGAAAGTCATGGGGAAGAGGCATCAGTAATTGAAAGGGGGAGAAATTGGACCAATCTGAAGTGCTATCTCGGTCCTTCTCACAGGAGAAGAAATGTCTCCCACGTGAATGGAAGGATCACTCAAGTATGAGATAAAATAGATTATACTGAAGATAACAGCCTTTTAAACATGACCCAGATTATTCCTCCAACTACTGTAGTTGTGACCTTATTTTTTGCCTTGTTTGCAGCAACATACAATATAGGTTTAGTTTTAACCAACCTTTTCTTCTTTTTATAAGATATTTAAAGATCATGCCATTGATGGAGAAACTTTACCACTGCTCACAGAAGAACATCTGTTGGACACAATGGGATTAAAACTCGGACCTGCATTAAAGATACGGTCTCAGGTAGAGCGAACAGATATAGTGTAATTCAAATTAATGAAGGAATGGAGGTTATATGATGAAAATATTTGTTTAGATTTAATTAACTTTATCATTTGTGTGTGCTTGTGTTTAACCACAGATCCACCTTTAGAGTAAAATGTATGCCTGGACTCTTAACAAGTGACAGTACATAAACCAGTGTTTCTTAATTTTTTTTAAGTCATGACCCTCTTTTATAATCGCCAAGGAAACTGTGACCCACTTGCAACATTGACATAAAAAGGCATTTTAATGGGGTAAAAAAAACACATTAAAATAGTTTTCCCTCCCAGAATATAATTCTAACCTAATATATTAATAAAGGTAAAGGTAAATGTTCCCCTTGACAATTTTAGTCCAGTCGTGTTCGACTCTGGGGGCGGTGCTCATCCCCGTTTCCAAGCCATAGAGCCAGCGTTTTGTCCGAAGACAATCTTCCATGGTCACATGGCCAGTGCGACTTAGACATGGAACACTGTTACCTTCCCACCAAGGTGGTCCCTATTTATCTACTTGCATTTGCATGCTTTCGAACCGCTAGGTTGGCAGGAGCTGGGACAAAGCAACGGGAGCTCACTCCGTCGCGTGGATTCGATCTTACGACTGCTTGGTCTTCTGACCCTGCAGCACAGGCTTCTGTGGTTTAGCCCGCAGCGCCACCACATCCCTCAATATATTAATATTAATGTAAAAATATATAATTATGGGAAGGGATGTATATCTGCTTCTACCAGATGAAATTTAAAAAGAAAAATGTCTGTACACATTGAGCTTAATTTACTTTTTGGGGTTTAAAAACAATTCTCCTTTCATGTCCCCTCTCCCTCAAAAAAGCTGCTTCAGTGAAGATCTCTCCCCCCTCAAGTGCAAATAAACACCTTCCCCATGGTCCCTCATTCTCCCCTCCCTGGTTCTCCTTCCTCACCTTTTTGTTACAGTCTTACCTTTAATTAATGGAAGAAATGTCTGAAGAAATTAATTTTGATCCATAAATGTTCACACTGTTGTTAGTCATGACAATATTTTGTCCTTGTTCCCTCCTTTCCCCCAACTGATTTAAGGAAGGGGTCCCCAACCCCTGGTCCATGAGCTTCCTTGAACTGTGCCCCAGTGCCAGTCCGTGGGCTTCCTTGAACTGGGCCGCAGACACGGATCTCTGACCCCCCGCATGCACGCACAGTGGCCATTTTGCACTTGCATAGGGGCGTGTTGTGCTTGTGGAGGGACATGTCACGCTTGTGGTGGGGTGTGTCACACTTGCGCGCATGTGCACGAGCATGACACACCCACCCACAAGGGTGACACACCTACCCATGAGTGCAGGGGGTGCCCCTGCCCCCCCACGCATGGAGCCCACATACCCCAACTAGTCCATGGTCCCAAAAAGTTTGGGGACCACTGATTTAAGCTAATACTTCTCAACACTTGACTTCATAATGAAATCATTATTTGAAGAGCAAACCAATTTCCTTTCCTCAGCCATACTGGAGCAGCAATGTGTTTCTAACTAGCATGAAAATGGGATAAAGGTAAAGGTTCCCCTTGACAAATTGTCCAGTCGTGTCCAACTCTAGGAGGTGGTGCTCATCCCTGTTTCCAAGCCGTAGAGCCAACATTTGTAGACAGTTTCTGTGCTCACATGGCCAACGCGACCAGACACGGAACTCTGTTACCTTCCCACCTATTCATATTTTTAAATGCTTTCAAACTGCTATGTTGGCAGGAGCTGGGACAAGTGACAGGAGCTCATTCTGTCGTGTGGATTTGAACTGCTGATCTTATGAACTTGCAGCCACAGGCTTTGCAGTTTAACCCGCAACGCAACCACATCCCATATGAAAATGGGATACCTTCATATAATTAATGTAGAGTATAAGATACTTAATTTGTCTTGTTGCAGGAGCAAAGATGGAAGTTAAATGCAACATAGAAAATTTTAGAGATTGTTTCTTCATTGAAGGGTCATTCCTGTTGGCCCTGCTGGTTGGGGATTCTAGGATTTCGGGTCCAAAAAAAACAATGTTCTTAAACTTTTGGTAAAGATTTCTACCAACTACCGACATGAAATTGACCAAACTCCAGGAGGCAGTGGAAGACAGGAGGGCCTGGTGTGCTCTGGTCCATGGGGTCATGAAGAGTCGGACACGACTAAACAACTAAACAACAAAGATCTCTACCAAATCAAGAATAATTCCAGAAAAATACATTGCTAAACAATGCCAATATTTGAAAATGGTAAAATAATGAAAGGTTCCCATGATGTACCTGAAGAAACTCACTGTGGAGTATTTCCAGATTACCACCTCTCCAAATTTTAGCAATACTGAAAATTTAGGTTTTAAGTCTTTCCTCAAAATATTTCCAGAACAGGGAAAAACATTGCCTCAGTAAGGCTTCTACAGTCATATTAAACATATTATAAACATACAATACAGTATGTTTAAACATATATCGCCCCACTTCTCTTCTTCTAAGCAACCATTTATTACCCATACTGCAAATGTCTAGTTAGCCTAACTTTAGCTTAGAATTAGCTCACCCACAAAGCATCTCTCAAGAAACAATAAGGTAGTATATGCTTTGGAAACATTCTCTGCTGACTAGCCAGACACAAGTCTGAAGAACATGCATAACCTTGCTGAGCTCACAAGGGAAGTAAAAAAAACCCACTGCTGAGCTCACAAGGGAAGTAAAAAAAAACCACCTAAGATAAGGGCTAGGCCAGCATTAGAAGGCAAAGGATACATTACTGTATGCATTTGTATTCTCAAAGGGCTACAATTGTCCAAACGTGATCAGGGCAGACCCAAGGACACTGTTTTAGGCAACATTAACTATTTCAAAGGGTATATGTAGCTTCATGTAACATTAGCAAGGATGCTTTTAAGAAGACCCAGAACTTGACGTTCTGGGAGTGAGAGCATCACTTATTCCATTGTTTTGGTAAGATTTCTATAAAGTATGTATGAATCTCTGTAGCCTTTGAGCTGCTTGTATTAGTCATTGACAGGTAGCACTCCGGCTTGCAAAGCTATCTCCTTTTTCTTTTATTTATTTCTTTCCAATAAACCTCTTACCCATATTTGCAAATTACTTGCATGTGTGGGTTTTTTCCAACTGCTTTTCTCTTTTCTTCAGGTTCTTGCTAGAGAAATCAAGAACCTTAAAATTAAAACCTAGTTTTCCATTTACAACGAAAGTAAGCTAAGAGAAAATTAAAACCTAGTTTTCCATTTACAACAAAAGTAAGCTAAGAGCTGCTGGATAGCTCAGTGTTTTAGGTATCTGGCTGTGGAGCCAGAGGTTGGGAGTTCGATTCTCCACTGTGCCTCCTTGGCAGGGTCCGGACTCGTTGATCCCAAGGGTCTCTTCTAGCTTTGTAGTTCTAAGATGATGATGATGAATTCACTAACATGTCAGGCAAAAACAAAACAAAAAATTATAAAAAGAAGACAACATTGTGGCACCTTAAAGACTGTTATATTTTATTGTGAACTTTCATGGACAGGTCTACTCCTTCAGACTCATCTTCATACTTCCGACTAATTCACTATATTAGCAAACTCTAACCACAGCTGACTGCTTCGGGACTGGCACTTAGCAAACTCTGCTTTCCGCTTAATCGCTTGAATATGACTGAACCACCTTTCAAAGCCAGAAACAGAATCTCAAGATAAATACATTTATTTATGTAGTTAAAATTAATATACATGAAAGCAGCAGCTTCTTTGTTTCCTTTGCTCCTCTCCAAACCAGCAGAAGATTGCTCCCCGTAGCCTCAATTTTTTTTCTGAATAGCCTTTTAAAATATGTTTTTAAAATGAATAAAAATCTATTTTTATTTTACCAGACTCCGAACAATTAAGATTTAGTTCCATCAGTCCTACCTGATTTCGCATTAACATTTTTCAGTCAGAATCATCAGCCCATGTCATGCTTTTAAACAACATTCCTTCTCCATCTTAATCTTCATCTAATCCTTACTGCTCTACAGTTCATCTGTCACTTCCTCTCTTTAGCCTTATATGATTAGACCCATCAGCAGTATCAGTCTTGGTAGCTTGGAATATGATCAACAGAAATACTTGGAATATGATCAGCAAAAATACAGACAGTGGACAGGCCTGCCTGCCTTCTTTTCCTAAAAACTTCAGCAAAAGCTACACAGATTTGGAATGGTGGTGGTTGCAACAGTAGTGGTGAAACTGAAGATCAGCTTTGCTCCAATGAAATAACTTGATCCTTTAGAACCACGAAGAGTCGGACACAGCTAAACGACAAAACAACAACAACGACGTAGAACCAGAAGGATTAAGTACCTTTCTCCTCTATAGATAATGTGCTATCATATTTATATGAATCAAATCTTGGAAATAGTACTTTTGGAGGATGTTCTTTCAAAATCCATCAGCAAGCATGGTAAACAGTCCTCAAAAGTAGACTTTTCCATGTCATCATGAAAAGTATCAGGATGTCAACATATTAACACAGTGGTTCCCAATCTCTGGTAACCCAGTTTTTCTTGGACTGCAATTCCCAGAAATCCCAGCACAGCACAGCAGGTGGTGAAGGTTTCTGGGAATTGCAGTCTAAGAACACCTGTGTTATTCTAGGTTGGGAACCAGTGTAGTAAAGTATCTTATCAACATTGCTTTTAAAGATAATTACTGTAATTTCTTTTTTGTTCTCAAGGTATCTCGGCGTCTGGGCAATGCATTCTGCATGATGAATCTTCCTTTGTCCATGCCGACTCCATCTGCTACAAGCAAACGTCCTGAACCTCCCTCAGATATGGCATCTCCTCTTAACTGCAACAATGCTGGCGATGCTCTAGCCAGTCCTTCTTCTCAGGATCCCGAAATTTCAAGAACAGTTGAGCAAGTCATGGCAGAAAGCAGGGAAAATTTGTCAGATGTCTCCGGAGCTCAGTCAGATTTCCAGATGATCAACTATCAGAAAAACTGAGAGAACTAGCGTAAAATAAGTCATCAGTGGACATCTAAAGCATTTGTGACATGTGGAAATATCGAATAACCTGTGTTCAGTACAGTTTATTAAATTATTTATTTTTTAGAAAGAACAAATGTTTATGAATAAGTACAGTTTTAAATATGAGTATGTTGGGCATTATCCTGTTCAGGAAACATGCAGAAGAAAGGCAATTGCACAAGTGCTCCCCTTTGTATTCCTGGTCTTGTGCTAGTTGCAAAACCATTTGTGTTGATAGGAGTGGCTTTGATGGGGGAATACTTACATATTGTCATTTTGCTCCCAAGACTCTACTGGCCATTAAAAGACAGAAGTGAGAGATAGCAAATTGGGATCTACTGATACAATTTTGTGTAATATATTGCAAATTACTTGTAATATATTGCAGGTAAAATTTCAAGGGGAAAGAAAAGCTGATTTTATAATCCAATAGTTCCCAGTCTAGTTAACCAGGTGTTCTTGAACTGCAATTCCAAGAAGCCTTCACCACCAGCTGTGCTGTTTCTGGGATTTGCATTCCAAGAATACCTTGGTTACCCAAGGTTGGGAACCACTGGTCTAATCCATAAAAATGGCCAGAATCCTATTATCTTGCAGTTTACATTGCTAGGTCTGATGTATTTGACTACATGATATACTGATGATTGCAAACCATACCAGTCTTTTTCTACGGTCATTCAGACCTTTTGCTCCACCTTCAAGGCGTATTTCATTTCTAAGTAATTGTGCTTGCATTGCATCTTTAGGTTTCCAGCATGTGTGATCACCTGGATTGGTCTAGAGTGACAGCTGTGGGTGTGTCCCAGAGTACAGTCGACAATGACATTTTAAGTGGAGTGTGGCATGGCAGTGAACAGCAGGAGAGAGTGACAGCTGTGGGTGTGTCCCAGAGTGCAGTTGACAATGAGTGGGGTGTGGCATGGCAGTGAACAGCAGGAACACCTTATCCTCTTTTGTTGTTTCTGTTGCCAATATTTTTTTAATTCAAAATTACTGTTGCCAACTTCAGCACTATGACAAGTAAGCATTGTACTCCCTATGTTGTAAATAAATTGTTTATAGAGTCTATTTCACTCAGGCCCACACCACTCCCTCCTGAGAAGCCCTCGGCCCCTTTTGCAATGTAGCCCAGCTCTGCAGGAAGGTGCGCATCAGCTCCGCCAGCTTCAGGAGGGTCAACACTGAGATGTGCACTTCTTCGAGGCCACTGCTGTGATGGAAGCCATGGGCAAACAGGGCAGAGCAGCCCCTGGAAACCAGGTGCCCCTTGATGAGGAATCCTGCTGGAGCTGGGAGGTGATGGAAACAAGCGCAATTGTTTCTGCCTCAACAGCTGATCAGGTATAGTAAAGAGATAGTTGGTGGCAGCAGCTCCCTCTAAAGGTTTTACTTTCAAACTTGCTTTTTTTTTTCATCATATAATTTGAAATCTGGGAACAGCACAGCATGGTAACTGTTCCTGCACATGAAGGCTATTGATAGTACCAGAAACTCTATGAATGGGCCTGCAGCATAATTCAAATAGCATCCACTCCACTTCACTTTAGAGTCTTCTCAGTTATTACATGGCGAAGCCTTCCAGTAGGGCTCTATGTTATGAGCTAGATAGCTGGACTGTTCAACAGGCTAGCACACCTTTCCATCAGGCATCTATTTCACCGTAGGCCAGCAGTTGGACAAAATGCAATGTAGTGCACATCAGTACAGAATAGAGAGGGGGGAACCTCGTATTTGTATAACAAATATCCCCCCACAGGTGCAGATAACGAGGGTCCAGCCCCCTGGGGCCAGACTGACTACTCATAATTGTGCCACTGCTGCAGGCTCCAGACTCCCTTCCTATTGTTCTGGAGCGCATGATCGATTAGCCACTCCTGGCAGAAGGCAGGATAATGAGCCTCTCGGCCAGGTCGAAGAGTGGCTAATCCATCGCAAGCTTCAGAGTGATAGGAAGGAAGACCAGAGTCTGCGGCAGCGGCAGAATCTTGAGTTATCTCCACCTGTGGGGGGATATTCGTATTCGTCTATGAAAACCCCCATCTCTAGTACAGAAGCATCCGCATGTAAAAAAAAAAAGCATACTGACCAAAATCCTATGATGGATTTACACAGACATAATGTGGAACACAGAAGTCACTGTGGCAAATTGCTGCTGGGAAACAAGTTGCCCCTTGCATTCCTAATTGCATGACTTGGTGCACAACTAGGAATGCAGGCAGTGACTTACATAATTTACACAAATATACTTTCGCTGATATAAATTTAGGATAGGATTCTGGCCACTGCACAGATAAGGTTCAAGACAGCCTTAACAGACTAATGAATGTGCCCCCCCTCAAAAAAAAACCAATATGACTTCTAACATAAATATTTTTAAAGATTTATATTTATATGTGAAAAATCAGATGCACAAATATAGGACTGGTGATTTTTAAGTAAAAACGATCTAGAGGTCATAGTAGACCACAAGCTAAAAATGAATCAACAGTGGGATGCAGTAGCAAAATTAAGTGAATGCAACTAAGCTGTGTCAGCAGAAGTATAGTATCCAGATTATGGGAAGTAACATTATCACTCTATTATGTGTTGGTCAGACCTCATCTTGTATACTTCATTCTGTTCAGAACACTACAACTTGAAAAGGGTATTAACAAGCTGGAAATTATCTGGAGTAGGACAACCAAGACAATAAAACAATCTGGACACCAAGCCCTGGAAAACTGTTTAGGGAATTGGGTGTGTTTTGTGTGGAAAAGAGAAGGTATACAGGTAGTACAATAGGCATCCTTAAATATTTGAAGGACTGTGTCACGTCCAACCAATGTCCTTTGTTTATTTTCCCCAAACACAAGTCCACCCTCTGGATGTGTTTCCTCAATTCATGCTGCCACCAAGTATTATTTACTCAATACTGAATAGATATATTTTAGACACGTGCTACCAATACACAGGTTTATTGATCTTATATTTGTTATGGAAATCACAGGAGTAAATCACAGATGTTTAGGATTATTCATTAAATATCATTTGAGTTCACGTTGGTTTGTATGTGTTTTTATTCACTTTTACAATATTCTTTGACTATCTGTTTATTCTTTATACTTTTGAACTCTTTCCTATTCTCTCTAGCATTCCAACTTTCCAATCTCTGTCTTAACTTTCTCAATTCAGTCTCCTAACCCTCTCTTTTCATTCCCTATCTCACCTCTTTTCTCCAACTGTCCCTCTAACCTAACTACAGTGGTGCCTCGCTTAACGGCATTAATTCATTCCAGCGAAATCGCTGTAGAGCGAAAACGTCGTAAAGCAAAATAAAGCCCACTGAAGCGCACTGAAAACCGTTCAATGCGTTCCAATGGGCTGAAAAACTCACAGTCCAACGAAGATCCTCCATAGGAGTGGCCATTTTCGGTGCCTGTAGAGCAAGGAATCCGTCCAAAAACACAGCGGGGACCAATTTTGAGCACCCGGCGGCCATTTTGAAAACCCGATAATCAGCTGTTTTGATCGTCGTAATGCGAAGAATCGGTTCCCAAAGCAGGGAACCGATCTTCACAAAGCGAAAAAAACCATTTAAACGTTGTGAAGCGGATTCATCGTTATACGGGGTAATCGTTAAGCGGGGCACGGCTGTAACTAACTGTCTTCCTTGGTTCTACCCCTCCTGTCCTCTCATAGGCTCCTGCCTTTGAGCTCCCCATGATGGATAGGCGTGACGTGGGGCATTCCACCACAGACTGTCTCATTGAAGATGGCACAAATTTGTTTTCTTGGACTCCAGAGAGTACAACCTGAAGCAAGGATTCAAATTATAAGAAAGGAAATTTCGACTAAACATTAGGAAGAACTTCTTGAAAGTTGACAGCTGCTCAACAGTGGGATGGACTGCTTTGGAAGGTGGTGGACTTTCCGACGCTGCAAGTTTTTAAACAAAGGCTGGATGGCCATCTGCCAGGAATGCTTTAGCGGTAGCTTTCCTGTTTCCCCAGGACTTTGTTTGTCTGCCTTTGTGTCAGAAGCACTATAGTACTACTCTATTAATAAAATATAAAAATAAATAATAATTGTGAGCCATTAAGGCAGCTATGATTTATGGCATTTTTTCCAGGGTTTACTAGATAGAGAGTACTCAGAAATGGTTTATTATTCCCTTCTTCTGGGGGTGCCCTGTGCAGCTTGCCCAGGACTGCAGAGGCTGGCTCCTCTCTCAGAAGGCACAATGGGGAACTGAACTCCCAACCTCTGGCTAAAGCACTGAGCAATCCAGCCAGATTTAATAAAATATATGGGATCATTTTTGCCCATGAACAGGAAATTGGCCTATGCATTCATTTTTGTTTCGACTCCAAAGCCCAGGGAGTTCCACTTGCCAGACAGACTCCTAAGAAGGCTGGATTGGAAGGTCTCATGGCCTAGGATAGGCAACACTTGGCAGTTTCAAAGTTGTCTGAAAAAGCAAAATTATTCATATATTTTTAAACAGGACTTGTAAAAACCTTGATTAGTTGTGCTCAAGCTTTTATGAGATTTCAGTTATGCTGTTGTTGTTATGAGCTGAACATTTCAGGTGATTAGCTCTAGGAAATATATCTAATACAGTGGGGTCTTGACTTGAGAACTTAATCCGTATTGGAAGGCGGTTCTTAAGTCAAAAAGTCTGTAGGTCAAGTCTCCATTGACCTACAGTGCATTGAAAACCGATTAATCCCGTAACTACAGGCCGTTTTTGTTCCATTTTGGGTTTTTTCTGGTCTGTAAGTCAATTCTCAGGCTGCAAGTCAAAACTAAATTTTGCGGCCAGAGAAGTCTGTAACTCAAAAATCTGTAAGTCAAGCCGTCTGTAAGTCAAGGGTCCACTGTATTATTTGTATCTTATTGATTTTTAAATTAGGTAAAATAAAGCCATGAAAAGACGTAACATTCCAAACCGATACCAAGTCATAGATTTATCTTTTAGCTAATAAAGTTGAATCAAA